AATTCGGGGAATAAAATGTATAAATTTTTTATAAAATTGGTTGCTTGTATCAAATCAAATAGCAACAAATAAATTACTATAAAAATATATATATGATATTTCCTTCTATTTTTCTGTAACTACGATCATTCTGATATATTTTTTTAATAATACCCTGACAGCCGAATGCATTTTCTGCTGAACATTAGATTTTTTTTATATTTTTTTAAAGAAAAATATACATAGTATAAAATACATTTAAATACAGAAAATTGATAATTAAATATATACAACTCCTTCTTTTCAAGCATGTTTTTGTTTCTGTCACATATTTATCTATTTGAAATATATAATTATAACTATTTTTATATTTCTTATTCTAATACTTTATTTTTTACTTAAACTATACTTAGAATAGTGATATCAAAACCGTAAAACACAGACATAAAGAGGGAAAAAAAAGAAGAAACAGCTTTGTGAATTTTCTTTTTAGTCTATTTAGTGACACTTAAAAAGTATTGATATTTATTTCCTATATCAGCCAGCGATATTTCTTTTTTGTTTCTGGGCATGGATGATTTTTTACGATATTATCGATATTCTTTACGATAGTTTCGGATGTGGATATTCTAGTCTTATATTTTGTTCACAATAATTTATATGGGGCGTCAAAAACGTAGTCATTGATCCAAATTAGGTTACCGAATAAGACTAGTAATAGATTCAGAAATCACCAACTATTACAGTAACTAAAAATCAAAATTTTTATTTTGCATTTACCCAGTCAATTAGAATCGCTACGTAAATTTTTCTTTTAATTAAATATCCGAATTTTACTTCATCAGAACCATAATAAACTAAAGTAAAGTTTTTTAGGATATTATGTGTTTAAGTAATTGCCAAAACCGCAATAAATTACCCCTGACTGAGTTATACAACTGAGTTATACTGACTGAGTTATACAATTACAACTTACCCCTGAATTAATTACTAACTAATTACACAAAATTAATTATCACTAATTAATTATTACCATCTTACAGTAAATTAATTATTGCTTAATTATCGAAAGAGGAACACCAAAACACAATTTAATATCGATTATAATAACTTACTATCGATATACACAGCAAGTTGCTACATAAATCAAAATTTAGTAACTATACTATAAAGTATCAAATGTATGTATCAATACTTTGCTTCTACAGTATCAGTGATGTTGATAATTCTTCAAGGCTATCGACACTTTGTTTAAGATATACATTTAACTCTCAATCAATCGTAATTTAACCTTATATTTAAACGTTATTATAACATAAAAGAGATGGTGTTAAATTTGTAATAAAGCTTTCAATTATCCAAATACAACACGCTTTTCCATTAAAAGCCTACCGACAACAGTTAAAATGGGGAAAAATGCATTTCATTTCAATAAATTACCCGTTAAATACGATTTCTAACTCTTTTCATTGAAATTTAAAATACCGCATTTACTTATCCAAAGAATAAACGCCACTGAATGTTTTCTACATCTATTATTTGGCAACCTCACAATCAAACGCTTGGATTTAATTCATCCCTTTCTTAAATATAGTGACTTATATTACAATGTTCTGTTTTCGCTCTTTTAAATATTCTGAAAAATCTTCTTACGTTCAAAACATTTAGAGCGCACACTTCTCTTCCATTATTTTCGACAATTTTATATACATCATTATCGCTTTGTCGCATTATTTAGAGGAAAATTTATATTTAAATAGTGAGTACTGTCAGCCATCGCTTTCATTTTTTAATTTTTCGTTTTTAAACTACGTTTTTTAAATTTACACCAACATTATTAGCTCTTTACGCGAATTCGAAATCAAGAAACTTAATCGTTACATTATTTGAGGGTGGGAACATTTGAATAAAACTAGTTCATTTTTTTAACATACTTTTTAAACATTTTTTTAACATAGAAGTTTGTCCAGAAATTCCTTCACTAATTCAAAAACAAGAAACCTTACCGTTGCATTGTTTGATTGAATATAAGTATATATTAGATGCAAAAATTAATATATTTATTTGCATAATTTGCATAATTTTCAAGGAAATAGTACTTTTATCCGCTAATTTATGATATTTTAATTCAAGTAACTTTATTAAAAATATGAGGAGAAAAAAATATTGTTATAAATTGGAATTGTAAAAAAAAAATTCACTTCTAACTTTTAATTCTATTGTTAGATAAAATTAAATTGAATCAAATACGTCTTAAGTAATCAAAAAAATAATAAAAAATACTAAATAATAATAATAATAAAAAGAAATCGATGTACAGAGTGAATCACAAAAACGCAATTGTTATTTTGGATTCAGTCAAAGTGGATGTATACTATCATAAATTTTGGAGCGTATTGACCCATATTGTTAAAATTTGCCTTTACCTCAATATATTGCTAAGTTGCACCATATTATTGTGCTTCTTACACACGATTACATTAGACTACGGCATTACTTGAACGGAAACGTGGTTAAATTTAACACCTTATTGTTGTTTGTTATAAGTTTGCACCGCATTAAGGTTCAAGATACTGATATTATGGTTCAACCTTGAACATACTTTAGTACATAAAATGTGAACATATGCCTGAAACAAATCAATGACAATAGGAAATAATAATATCTAGAAATAACTTCTAAAGGAAACTTTATATATAATTTTGAGATAGCAATAGTTAATTCTGGAGTTATTTAAAAAAAAAAAAAAATATTTTTTCATTTAATGTTTCCAGATTTACAAAAAATATCTTCAAACAGCTATAAAATATGCATCGCTACAATAACTAGAATCATTTTTACGAAACATTTTTAATTGAAAAGAAAGCTGAATTATTCATACTTGATAGTTTTTTATTTGGTAGGTCAATCAATGAAAAAATATATTCAGTTTGTGAATCATTTTAATCTGTCAATCATCAAGGACATTCATTTCGATTAAAAAAAATCACCTAATTTGGTAACTGACAATTCGTAAGGTTAATTCTCGATCCCCTAAATTAGGCCCTAATTATAAGCCTTTAATTTTATCTGAAAAGTAAAATTTAAACGAAAAGTAATAATTTAATCGGCCTATCAAGTTAGTCTGCAATAAAAAGAAGTTTTATTTCTTAAAAAAAAGTAATTTATTTTAGTGCACCAGTAATTAATCATTAAAATGCTCATTAAAAAGGATTTTTGTATAAAACAAAACACATCAAATTTTTTTTCAACTTTCTTCGACTGTTTCAAGACTAAAGTTATCTGAAACTATGTTTTGAAAAAATAAAATACTTCGAAAGAAATTCATAATTTTATCTAGAACAGGGTACACTAACTTTCAACTCCTTCGCAAAATTTCTCTCATATTTCCTTCCTTTCTTTTCTAGAATAAGCAATTCAAAAACAATAACAGAAATTTAATTGTTTGACAAGTTTTAAAAAAAAAACTTAATTTGAGAGCTTTAATAAGACAACTAGCGTAGGATTGTGATAATTTTTATTACAGTTGATACTAAATAAAATTAATTATTTAAACATGTTTTTCAACTATACGATATTTCTAATTATAAAAATAATTTCAAAATCTAGGCTAGGCTAATAAGAGATATGCTATGCAAATATTTTAAATTATTATATTATAATATTCATTATATGTAAATATAAATGCAATATGAAGATATGGAGTTTGAAAAATGAATAAAAGTTTTCTTTAGAAGCTATTCATTCAAGTTTTTTTGATTTTGAGAAAATTAGAAACAAATTTATATGTATTTCTAAATACTGAGGAAATCCTAATGTTTGTTTCAGTTATTCCTATAAAATAAATTAAAAATATGCGCTATTTTTTATTAAGAAACCCACAAATAATATTATAACAGTAACGAAAGAGAACGAATTTTCGCTTCTAGTTACAAATTTTGATTTAGATGCTATTTCGAGCTTAAATAAAGAAAACATGAACTTTGAGTTTTTTCTATAATAAAATAAGAAATTCAAAAGTTATTTAAATCAACTGTTCCGTTCGAACCCTAGGGTTCCGACAGTAAAAATCGTAGAGGTTCCCAAATGTAAAAAAAAATCCATAAGTTTTTTTCATCGAGTTTTTAAATTAAAACTAAAATATATCAACTCACGAATAAAGAATTACATTTCTTTGATAACTATTCTCAAAGTTTGTAACAGTTATTTTTTTAAAAACCACCAGTCAGTTTATTTTATTCCTTTTCTGCAAATATACACACTCAGAAAAATTCACAGTTTAAAATATTTCGCATTAAATATTTTCAAAATAATTTGCAGTTTTTCTTTTGGCTAGTACATTCACAGTTGTGAATTAATTTCTTATTTATTTATTTTTTTAATAATGTCGGAACTCCAACGAAAGAAGATAGAGAGTCGTGGTGGCTCAGGGGATAGAGCACTCACTTCCTAATATAGTGAATCGGGCTCGAATGCCGGCGATGGCTGGCTGATTCGAATTCCGCTCGTGGCTCGCACTGACCACAGTGCAGACGTAAAATATCCTTAGTGGTAGACGGATCATGGGTTAGAGTCCCCTTGCCATCAGGCTAAGAGGGGAGGCTTTCGTGGTTTTCCTCTCCATATAACGCAATGCCGGTTAGTTCCATCAAAAAGACCTCCATGAAGGCAAATTTCTCACAGTATTTTATTCAAAAGTTACCTTCTCATCTGGATTGCGTTTAAAATTACAAGGCTACGGAGTTGAACATTGGTAANATATATATATATCCTTAATGAAATAATCTTAAGGCATATTTTCTGATAATTAAGTTAACAAGAAGTTTTTATAAAAATAATTTTTAACATAATTCAAAATTTTCACACAAATTTCTTTTAAGAATGAGCCGGTTATAACATATATTGACGATACGAGCATAATAATTAGCATTTATTTTTTTTATTTTTTTAAATGTCTGGAAAAAACAGGAAATAAATAAGCATAATAAGAAAATGCACTAAAGAATATTTTAAATTCTTACCTTGGAAGTAAAACTCGCTATTTTTCGCATAATAAGAAATCACATCTAACATATCCAGGGTCTGAAAAGACAATAACAGCGAAACTTTAGCTATTAAAGACCAAAAAACGCGTTTCGGGTAAATGAGGGGGGAACAGACACTATTCCCCCTCAATAAATACACCTCTAGCTAAGAGGAAGGGGGGAAGAATATACGGAAATAATATATTGACTCTATAACTAAAATCTAAAAACAAAAAGTTTCTCTTAAAAGGCTCAATGAAGCAAAGTATCTACTGGGATGATGAGAAGAGGTGGTGTTGAGGAAAAGGGGGTGCCGTTACATCCCCCCCCCGATTCTTCCGAAATTTTTTAGTTATTGTCGCAGATGAGTCGGAATAGTTTCTTAAATCATGACTTAAGGGAGGAGTCGGAAGGAATGAGTGGGGTGGAGGGGGGCACACCTGCCCTGTTCGCGTGGGCTTAAGTAGTTAGGGTGAAAATTTCGAAATTCAAGAGGCTATCTGTTCACAGAATGGAAGTGGGATTTCATCACACCCAGCAGAAGGTGCTGAACATCGATTGATGTATGGATAAGAGTCCGCACCCCCCAAAATTTTCGAGAAATAGAACGTTTTTTTATTCGCCTTTTGCGAATTCTAGTTTTTGAATGAAATTCCTATAATGTAGTTATTTTGAAAGACAGCTAGACATTTATTTCTCTAAAATAAATTAAATAATCATTTCGTTCAAAACTATTGAGTTTCGTGCAACTGTTCATTTTTCTGATGGGATTATTCCCTTTTTTTCTAAAATATAAAAAGTGGTAGCTCAAACGTTTCATTATTATGGTTTATTCTGCAGAAACAAAATAGCTCTGCCTGTAATAACTAAAATATTTATATTTGGACCTGAAATCGACGTACAGTTTAAGTGTACATATGTCACTTTCTTAAAGCTTAAATGACAGGTCATAAAAAGAAATGTCCACTTGGTAATAACAAACATTTCTGCAACTTTTGCCACTTATACGTTTTTCAAGTACTGTCGAGTTCATATGGCGTGGCTAAACATTAAACTGTTCCTTAACAACTATTTCTTAACCTTGCGGATCAAGACCGTAAGGAGCGCTTTTCGCCTGACAAGAGAGCACCACTAGAGTGGAAGTGCGACTTTGCTCAGATCTCCCCAGATAGATGGCAGTACCACTATTTTGAGAGGCCATTTCCGCATTTTAGGCATAGAACTAAAGGAAAAGGTAAATTTTTCCAGATCCCTGTATCCATGGTACTGCTCAGCGACAAACCACAGCGACCAACCGATTCCACGGATATGTACTCGGTGGATATTAGTGGCTTTCGATGATCGAACCCCGGTCTTTTCGGACGATACTCTAAACTAAACTGTTTCGATTTATCATATATATATCAATGTTTAATGGTGGCCGTCGCACTTACAGGGTTCCGAAACAATCTTTCAACTACATTATTTGTGCTCCTACATCGTTTTGGTGTTATAGCAAATAAGTCAGACCTGGATATAAGGTCATCCACATATAAGGTCACCCCGCTTATAAGGTCACTTTTCCAAAGTCCCGGCTCGCTGAATAGAAATTCTTTGTTACAGATTATCGGATATATGGTCAAGTTTTAAAAATCGTTATCGCTTATAGGGTCATTTTTATCTGAGGCTTCGAACAAAATCCTATTTAACTTCCTTACAAGGCAATTACCCCTCTCGAGTTCTAGGAAAATGTTGCAGCCAATGAACAAGCTACAATTTCTGAAATTGTTTCACAAGTTGTGGACAGTGATTACAATGACAGTGATCCTGAGGCTGTAGCTGTAAAAGCCTTCAATGCGATAAATGTCATATGAAATTTTTTTACAAACCATGAGGGAGCTGAAGAACATTTCGAGAAGTTACAAAATTTAGAAAACATTGTTCAAAAAATGAAACCAAAAACGAGACAGACCTGTATAAATGATTATTTTAAATAAGGTAAGATGTAATGTATGTATGTACACTTTGAAGAAATTTGTAAACAGCTTTATTTTAAATTAAAAAAATTTCTGAAAATCTAACATTCTTTAATTCTTTACTAATTCTGTTAAAATTTATTGACTTAAAGATTTAATTTATGGCCGATCGTTTTCATTTGTATTAACATTCTTAAAAAGTTATAATGTGTACTGTTTACGTGCTTAGTTACGAACTGCTAATGAATCGGTTAAAAGGTCACCCCGCTTATAAGGTCACTTTTGCGATGTCCCTTAGGGTGACCTTATATCGAGGTCTGACACCATCATCAGCATCGACACAGAATGAGTGATCGAGGGGCACAAATAGGATGAATTCTGAGACTTTGTGTAATACCGAAAAATCGTTCAATCGTTACTATATGATGATCATAATTACTATATTAACGAAACGATCACTATACAGTATTGAAGTGGAGCGATGTCGATCAATTTAAAAAATTGATGAATACAAATCATTTAAACAAGTAACTCAGGAGAGAAGGATAATGGAATGAAAGAAGAGTTTTCGAAGGTCAGGGTATCGCTTTCAACCTGGAATATTTTATTTTATAGCCGTCGTTGAACAGTCGAACCTTTTCTTTTTTTTTCGGTTTACGACTACTGATGTTCAACACCGTAGCCTTGCAATTTTGAACCTTATTCAGAAGAGAAGGGAACTCCTGGATCGAGTAATGGAAGAAATTTGCCTTCGTGAAGGACTTTTTGATGGAACTAACCCACATTTGCGTTACGTGGTGAGGAAAACCTCGAAAACCTCCCTAGGTTAGCGTGACGGCAAGGGGACTCTAACCCACGATCCATCTACCACTGACGATATTTTACGTCAACACTGTGGTCGGTGCAAGCCGGATGCTGAATTCGTATCAACCAGCCATCACTGGGATTCGAACACAGCTCCCCTCATTGGAAGGCGAACTTTGTATTCCACGAACCTACTGAAAATTATAAATACTGAATTATATCTTACTGTAATTATAAATTTTAATGTTACTAAATAAGAAACATGGTGGTTGAACCAATTACTGTAAAAAAACAACATTCTTTCTAGGTGTTTTACAGCGCTAGGAACGATCCTCTTATTTTGACGTTGTGGAACACCACATTAATGTATAGTAGTTACCACCATTTTTTGTGTTCAGATATTTTCTTACGGTGACAACCTTAATTGCCGTTATAATAACAATGGGGATTATTGCGACATCGCGTGAGGAGACATTTGCAACTAACAGGTGAAATATTTACAATTACATCCATTTCCATGTCTGGATGACTGCCTTATCAGTAAACGGAGGAAGTTCTAACATAAAAGTGTGATAATGGTAATCTTTCAGAGCAAAAATATTACGTCTATATTTCAAAAAAGACTGCGGTAACAACGTTTTTTTTCTTTCTTTCTCTTTAATAGACATTTCGAGCTGTTGCACCAATCGATCTTCCACCTTATTGCTGGTGATTTCTTTGGCAGCTGAAGGCATACAAGTATTTACACCTGTGATATTTTAGTAAAATCCATTTTAGGACAACTGCGCGAAAAATTAAATTTAAAGCGCCAAAAAGTTGATCTCCAAAATAAATTATTTCGAAATTGAATAAGAAAGTGAGATTCCAGTAAACAACATACTTTTACAGACTTTTACTGAAATTACCAATAAACACGCAAGGTAAATAATGCTATTGTGCTACAATATATATATATANCTAATATCATTACTACAATAACTCACATTTTGGTAATTAATTAATATTTGATATTTTTCAAAACTAAGGACTGTTGTTAGAATATTGTGAACTTCAAACTTCTCAAAGTTTCTGGTAACTTTAAATTAATTTAGTAAAAGTACAGCTTCAACATTGAGAAAATTTAAAGCTTACATTAATCAATCCTATAAACTCAGAGATTATATATATATATATATATATAGCATAATAAATACAAAAAGAAAAAAAACACGAAGGAAATTAAGAAAAACTCCTCACACACTATTGTATTGATATATTTTGTTTGGCTATATTGATACAGTATTAGAAAGCACTCCTTTTTGCGGATATAATCGTCTGAGCTGATGGAAAGGTTAGATCTTTTATTTCAAAGATTTTTATTTTATATTATTTTTTCATTGTTCTGTAAGAAAAAAGCCTTTAAAACAAGATTCGCGATACGATTTTACTTTTCATGAAAAATCTATAGGAAAAAATAGAGAACCTTTGCGGAAAATAAATTTGTAACTACCTTAATACAAAGACAACTAATGTTAATGGTTAATAAAAATGTCTGTTAAGAGTAAAACTCAGTTAAACTTTAAGGAATCTCGCAAAAATAATTGCAATATTCCTTCCCCCTAGCTAAGAGTAAATCATAAATATGAATGTACTGTTAGCAGTGTTTTTCGTTAGTTTCTTTTCTTAAATACGATTGAAAAAGGTAAAAAAGTTTTTTTAAAAAGAAACTGTTACAGCTTTGTATATTATTGAAAAAGAGAAATAATGAAAAAAAATTTCGAAAACTGCACTTATTCATTTATTTCAAAATTTTTTTACAGCTTGATCGCACATGTTTAACGTTTTATTTTTTTTATTTATTTCATTTCAGATTGCATAGCAAACTAATTCAAAAACATATTAATTCCTCGCCCCCCTCCCCCCCCCCNACCTCCCCCCCCCCCTAATAAAAGGAAAATCATTAAACACGTTGGAAATAATATTTACAACTGTCTGAATTGCGTCAAATTGCCTCCTTTTTCAGAACTGCAGAAAAAAATACAGCATAATTTTCTTCATACTATCTAGAAAGTTATACATATTTGAAGTTTCTTCTTTATAACATTAAAAGTACACCATTTTACTGTTGATTCTTAAAATATTTGTATTAATTATTTATTTAATAATATGATAAAACTATAAATCACATTTCCCACTTTTTATCCCGTTAACATTAACATCAAGGTTGAATCATTAATCACTGTTATTAATCGTTTAAGAATGCAAATAGGCCTCTAACCGTTTTATCACATTAACGGGGAACCAATTAAACGGGTTTCAT